ACTAATACTAAATTGAATTGAATGCTTGCTGCCCCATTTATAGGAATCAAGATAATTTTATTAGGACTGGCCTGAATTCCTGTTCATACCAAATTAATAGCACTGTGATTTCATAGAATTTTGCATTTTGTACAACACTTATACAGAGTAAGTTCCACTTAATCATCATAAAATTATTCTGAGTCTCAGGATCTGCTCTGAGGTTGGCATGAGAAGTGTGTGTAAGTAAGACTCATTAGTTATGGAATCACAATCAGTTGTTTGCATAGTATACTTGTTGTAATTGTAAATTTGTAAAATGTGAATTTATCCATGAATAAATTTCAAGTGTTAATGATGACTTTTTGGAGGTTGATATGAAAAAGAACAGATTTTCTAACTTTCCTTACAGTTCTCTAGTAAATACTTTATGCCACTTGGTGAATTAAATAAAACTTCTCTTCTTAGTTCCATTCATTCACTTCACAAATACTGATGGAAGCCTTCGTCTCAACCAGGCGCTATGTAGCCTCTGGAGAGAAATCGTACCCAGAGCCCTATGGCCCATACTGGTAACAGTGGGATGGGCAAGACAGACTTGACTCAGTTGTTTGGTGGCCAAAAAAGAATCAGTGTTTCTGTATTAAGAAATCATTTTAGAGTGTGACAATTTTGTTATATTGGGTTGTTGGTAAAGTCATGACACGGTTTTGCCTAGAAAAAAAGAAAAATACACTGTGACTTTTCTGACAACCCAGTATAAAAAATTATTGAGGCTGACAGTGGTGTGGTGGTTGAAGCACTGGACTTCCACATGACCGACTGAGGTTCAAGTCCCAGACCTGGCAGCCCAAAAATCACAACGAATAAGTAGATAAGTAAATAAATAACTTTTTAAAAATTATTAATGTTTCCAAACTATTTAATGACCATTTCTCCTATTGACTCCACATTTTGAAGTTTATCTGCCCAACACATTTACCTGATAATTATTTTCTCAGTATTTATCAAAAGGGCAAATAGCTGCCAATTGGACAACATGGAGTATATTTCCAATTCCCCCCTTAAAAAAAAAGAAAAAGGAAACCAGCAGGTAGTGTGGTGGTTAAGGCACTGGACAGGACCTGGCAGCTTGAAAATCACACCAGGCATGTGTGTGTGCATGCCCAAAATCCCAGGAGGAGAATGGAGGAGAAGGGATTACAACATGGCCATCCTCCATGGGAGGGTGACTTCTCACTTTCCTTCTGTCTCTCTCTCTCCCCAGCAAATGCATACATCCTATGGCAAAAACCTGAAAATGAAAAAAAAAACTTATTTTATATTTTTCCTAGGCTGTCTATCACAACTGTGGACAGATCACAATTCCTAGTATTTGAAAATGCTAAACATCCCATCGCTGAACTCAGTGATATTCATTGATATTGTTTATTAATATCATATTAGTGTAAAACTTTTTTCTGTTGACCTGCCCATCCATGATTTGACTATAGCTAATCAGTCTCTTTTCCTAACATCTATTCATAGTGTTTCAGAATATACATCGTCTCTGAAGAGTAGGAACTGAATTGGAAAAGGAAACAAATTTATGGCCTTTATAAAGACTCGAGGTGCTGTTCTACTTAACTCAAGTGGTTGTTTAACAGCCGTGAAGTGCTTGCTGTATTTGATGGCTCTTTGTGCTAATTTATGTCCTCTTGGTGGTTCTGTGGGCAGTTACTGGGAAGGAGGAAGGAGAGGACCTGAAGCCAGAACAGAGCAGAAGCTTGGGCACTCAGCAGGGGGCGCTGTGCCAGAGTTGCAATGAGGGTTCAGAACGGGCCTTTCCAAGCCCCACTCCTTTTCCACACCCTCTACTTACCAATCAAATCTTTAATCTTATTTCCCTAAACTGAGATAAAATGGTAAATTGCTCTGATTTAAAATCACTTGGCATTAGCGATATTTAGGTGCCAAGCAGAAATAGGCTGTTGGTAAAAACGGTAAAAATCCTTGGTAAAAATGGCAGTTTCCACAGGAGAGGAAAATGTTTTAGGGTGTTCATGAGGAAATGGTGTAGACTGTGGTTAGATGATTGTTTCCATGAACTTTAACAGAAGATCTCCCCAATCTGAATTCCTTAAGCCCAAACTTGACATTTCTCCTATATGATGTAGGTCCCTTTGTCTCTTTTGAATTACCTTGCATAATTTTATGTGATTAATATATAAATGATATATAAATAATAATAAATAATAAATAGTTATCCAGAGTAGTTACCAATTTGTGATGAGGTTATTGATTACTTACTTTCTTTAATTTTTTTCAGGATATATTTAAGTTTTTATAATGAACATGCATTACTTTTTAATCTGGAAAAAATATTAACAATAAAAATTGCAGAAGTCCATGTATAAAATCCTATGTATATTCTTGCAATATCAAAGTAGATTTTTTTAAAAAAAAAATATGTTCTGTTTGGTAGAGTACTTGATATTAAAATGAACCCTTACATTATATAGTTCTTTATACAGATTTTCTCACATGGAATATATAATAATACCTGATGAACTTAGTAATGATGATGGTATGGGTCATAATATCCCAAAACAATGAAATTGTGGATTAGATATTTTGTCTTGTTTGCTGAAAATTAATGTGATTAGCAAATGGTAGAAAGAGAGTAATGTTTCTGAATCCTAGTCCAGTTTTCCTTTTTCATATGCTACAATATCTTTGTGTTCCCAAATCCTGTGGAACATAAAAAGGGATATACATACGTTCCTGCAGTAGTTTCTAATATAGCTGAAGTAAAAGGACATATGGTGACAGAGTGGCTAATTAGCAATTCAGCTAATGGCTCAGATAAAAAGTGCAGTGCCCAATACAGTGCCTGGCACATAGAAAATGCCCAGGAAGAGCCGTATGGATGGGCAGGCAAATACAGATAGATTGGCAAGTTAATTACTTACAGTGTTAGGAAGGAGAAAAGTTCACTGGTCACAGATGGTTGAATTTCAGTAAATATTTAGTGTGTGTGTGTGTGTGTGTGTGTGTGTGTGTGTATGTGTGTGCGTGTGTGGTCAAAGAATTCTTCAGTAAGGAGAACACAGATGAGAGAGGCCTTCAGGAACTTTTAATAGTAGGGTTTGATCTGCAGAGAGGAGGAATGAAGGAATTTCAGGCCAAGGGCTCAATATGGTCAAAGGCAGTGAGTCTGAAAGAGCAAGATCTTACAGAGAACTATAAGAGTATCCCTCCTAAAGCAGAAGGTTAGGATGTTGCTTTGAAAGTAGAACGAGGGGGGGAACCAGCAGTTAGCATAATGGCCTGTGTCGCTGGGCTCCCACGTAGTCGACTGCAGTTCGCGTCCCAGACCCGGTGGCTTAAAACTCACGCCGGGCGTGTGTGCGTGCGTGCCCAAGATCCCGTGAGGAGAATGGAGGAGAAGGGATTGTGGCGTGACCATAACCCCTGGGGGGTGATTTCTCGCTTTCTGTCTCTATGTCTCTCTCTGTCTGTCTGGTGAGTGCACACACCCTATAGCGAAAATCTCTCCAAAAAAAAAAAAAAAAGTAGAACAAGGGGGCCAGCAGGTGGCATGGTTGGTTAAGACACTGGACTCCCACATGGCTGACAATGGTTCAAGTCCTGGATCTCATGGTTTGAAAATCATCCTGGGCACATGCGTGTGCATCTCCAAAATCTGAGGAGGAGAATGGAGGAGAAGAGACTGCAGCATGGCCAACCCCCCCCCAGGGTGGGGGGGGGCACTTTCCCCCTCCCTGTCTCTCTCTGTCTCTCTGGTGAGCACATGTCCACCTTTAAAAAAGAGGAGAAAGAAAGAAAGAAAGAAAGAAAGAAAGAAAGAAAGAAAGAAAGAAAGAAAGAAAGAAAGGAAGCAAGGAAGAAAGAGGAAAGAAAGAAAGAAAGAAAGAAAGAAAGAAAGAAAGAAAGAAAGGAAGGAAGGAAGAAAGAGAGAAAGAAAGAAAGAAAAGGAAAGTAGAATAGGACTATATGATAGAACATAGTGAATTTCAAGCTGTTGTACTTATATAATCCATAAGCACAGGCCGCTGCAGAAAGTTTGCTTAAAGTAATTACTGCCATGAAAAATGATGTAGGAAAAAACTCATAGAAGTATGATTTTGTGTTGAAGACGAAGATATAAGAGACCATTCAATACAAAGTGGAGATTTTAAGTATTCAACTGGGATTTTTAAAGTATTTTTAGAAAGAACCATACATGTAGATCTTGCTGCATCATCATTAAAATATTCTTATATGTAATTGAAGTTTCTGAGACAGTTGTGTCAAATTTAGCTTTAGAGCAATAGGTATTCTAATTGAGAGCTAAAAGATTTGAAGACAAGAAGCTGGCATGAAAGTCTAGAGGCCTCCAAATATTTCATGCACAAAATCTAATCCATTTTTTATATGCTAGAAGAAAAGTAATAATTTATGTCTTCTAGAGTATTCAACATAATTACTAGATCTGTCAGGAAATTGGTATTTCTTGTCTTGTGGTATGAGAAGTTGTATACATTGTCACTTCACTTTAAACCTATTAGCTATTTTATGTTTCAAAATCAATGATGTCATTACTTTTGAGTGGAAGTGATTAACAGTGGGATACTGGAGCAAAACTATGTGGGTTAGGATCCAGCTCCACCACAGGCTTGCTGGTCAATCTTGATCAAGTTTCTCTTTGTTCCTCAGTTTTCTTGTCCATGAATGATAATAATAATAGTCCTAACATCTTAGGGTTGTTGGAAGGATTAAGCACAAGTGTAGACTAGTACCCAACATGTTGTCACAATTCATAAGTGACCATGGTTTTACTATTAGTAATTCATAGTCAGTGAATTATAATACATTCATCTTATTTTCTTGGTGTTCTGATGATTTGTTTTGTTGTTAAAATCATTGTTGGAAACATAGCAAGGCTCCCACAGGGATGTGGCTGAGATCTCTGCTGAGTGACATGTAGCCTAGGATGCTCCTGATCATGGTGAAGCTGACCACCCTCTTGCCTTTTGCAGTGAGCCATCTCTATGGATTTGGACTGATGGATGCAGAAGCCATGGTGATGGAGGCGGAGAAGTGGACCACTGTTCCCCAGCAGCGAGTGTGTGTGGAGAGCACAGACCGACAAATCAAGTAATGTTTACCTCCGGCAGACAGCATGACAATGCCCCGAGAGCACAAAAACCTTCTGTAGTGTCTTTCTAATGTAACTGGCAAATCATAATAGGGTGTCTAGGATTCTAAGCTGCTGAATCCAACTGGTATAACCCAGGGCTCCTTAAAAGAAAGGTATCTCTTAAGAAGGGATCTGGGGCGGGGCTGGCAGGTGTTGTGGTAGTTAAGGTGCTGGACTCCCACATAGCTACTTGTGGTTTGAGTCCCTGACCTGGCAGCTTGCTTTCCTTGTTTTTCTTCTCTTTTAATCGCTCTCTCTCTCTGGTAAGCACATGTGTCCTATAGCAAATTAAAATAATAATAATAATAATAATAATAAATCAAATTAAATAAAAATAATTCTTTTTTTTTTTTTTACAAAAAACAGGGTCAGAGACCATC